TGATTGATGGTACAGACTAAGGGTGAGTCCAACTGCCTTAACTTAGGTGCACCTTATATGGCATAGATGGCAAGATTGTTTGTGGCATTTGGACCACATGTGGTCCACACAATAATTGCAAAACCTTTCTTGCTCAGCTCAGGATTTTTGGGCTACCAACAGCACACACTACATTTGCTCTAAATAGTATCAGGCCTACATCGTGACTTTTGGTCCAGGTTGGACCAACAAGACATTCCTGCAAATGACCAAATTAACCCAGATTCAGCCCAGAATACAGAATCGTAGCGTCACTTTGCATAAATCTGCAGTTTGAACCTTTCTTCTTTTTTTTAATCACATCCAAGTTTTCTAGCATTCAAAGTATTAACCCTCTCAATGCAGGCGTTGCAGATTTGCAACAAGTAAAAGCTAACAACCTGATTACCCCACATACATATTTTATGAGGTTTTTTTACTCAGAAGTACCACTGCAGGTATTCTTTTGTGCATTAGTAACAAAAACTTAATTTGAGCCTGAGAGGGTTAAAACAGAATCCAATAAAAAGCTTAATATTTCTATAGAATAACACACACACACACATCATCATCATCATCATCAGTTAAAAGATGTGGATCTTTTCATTCAACCAAAACATATCAGTTTTGGTTGAATGATGGTCTCAAGAAAAAGCAATAAATGTAAAGTTATTTTGATGCCTTCAACCTCCCACCATTTCTCAACAACACTCAACTTTTTAGAACTCGCAAACTCCAAACATCAGAAATTTAAACCATGAGAAGAAAAAAGTACTGATGATACAAAAGGGAGAGCACATGTTTGAAGTGACTTTAAGCTTTTCTTTTGGGATAATGACACAACGTACCACAAAACAACCACTGAAGGATCACAGAGAGTTGAAAATGCAACGCATTTCTAATTACTCGCAAGGCAGAACACCATCGGTGCGCTTCTTCTGTGCAGCTGTCGCACTTTGGTTGGACTCGTGACAGCTACAGGTGATGAAGCGCTCAAACTCTCCCACTGAGTGGGACGGATGACATTTCACTGCGTTCGATTATGTTTTGGATGCTGATGTTTCCATGTATTGGAGCTTATCTGTATAAAACATGGAGCTGACTTCATTAGACCAGATAAATGTGACACATGACCTCTGTGATGACACAGCGAGAAACACTGGGACTATCGCTTTCCAAACGCGAGAGTCCATTTGCACCAGCGCACCTCATCACACTGCACTTCACACCTGGAGCGCTGACAGCGTCACCCCCAAAACAAACCATACTGGCATTAAAAAGCTTCTCATCACCATCGTCATCGTCATCATCCTGCAGTGACACTTTCTAATGTTCTCGTTTCTTCTCA